TAAAACATCTCTTCGTGAACGCGCAGCGTCATGACTTATCTTCTTATGCGAGACTGGCGCTTTAACAGACAAAGAAACAGATTACGGCCTAAGGAATATATATGTACCGTAGAACCGACCGCGGGTAACCAAAGATTTAAGTGAAGAGTATCTCGACTATGAAACGCTGGTGTACAAGTAGGAGGCGGAATGACATCAGAGAGAGGAGGTAGCTTGACTTTCAGTAATAAACAATAGTCATAGTTATCAGTTTAACATATTTCTTTTGGGAAGAGGAGAGAGGTGGGGGAAATGGACTGGACTACAGTTACGTTGTGAGATCCGCGCATCCAAAAGGCACTCTCCTGAAAACTCGCAACGGTATTCACCGCTGATTTTCCTCAGACAATTACAAGAAAATTGCCATTGGAGGGCACTAACACCGAGCGATCATTTGAATGAAAAAAATTCATGATGGCGAACGTTATTCCTTGTCTTCGAAAAATAACAAATAATTGCAAGCTTAACAAGCTTGCTTCCCTTTTAATTTAGAAATGATGTCAACATTACCTAATTTATCGAAATTCGGGGAAACTTCCTTTTCCAAGGCTACACGGTGAAAGCCAGACAAGTCACATTTTAGAATTATGGGCTCACTGTAGTAGAAGGAGGGTCTCAATGTGGTGATGGCTTCTACGGCTAACGGTTTAAATTTTGACCATGTTACAGTTAACGATTAACAGAAATTATTTTTTGATGTTAAATTTTTGTACAACTAATGGTTAAAATTTGACAATTTTTAGCTGAACGCTTATAAATTTTTTTGGCCGTTACATGGCTGTTGGTTAAACCCATTGAGACCCTTTAGAATTTCATGACGTCTTAAATCAGTGGTAAATAACTGACATTAAAAAGCTTCTTACCGTAATTGTTTGCTATCATGCGCAGCTGAAACCATAGATATTTCACAGAGGATTACGGTTAGATCGCACCATGGTTAGATTGCTCCCAGTTGGATCGCTCCAACCAAGAGTTAGATCGCTCCATCAAATGAGTTACTTCGCTCCCAACATAAGTTATTTCACTCCATGTAGAAAACCAAGGTAGAAGGTTGATAGAAGACAGAAGGACGAGAAAGAGTTTTGTTACACGAAGAAAGGGTCAACTAGTCAGCTTAGATGAGATTATGTAAACAAAGTTAGTTGAGACGTCACACTTTAAATGGTTCCCGGCGCAATTTGAAAACATTTCAAACTCAAAGTTTTCCAAATATTCGCAAAGTAATTTAAATTAAAAATAACAAGTATTGGAATTGGAGAAAAAATTGCCAATTTTTTATCTGGGGTTTGGCTACCTCTTCCTTCCCAACCCCCCAACCCCAATCCCCACCTTCGGGGAATAAGAAGGACCAGAGGAAGAAAAGGAACTTCTTGCTTTGCCTGCCTTGATGATCATGAGTTGTGCGGCCTCGTCGAAGGAGTTCAGGTAAAGACGATAAGTATGCAACAAAATGCGCAGTAAACATCAGAATGTAAGGAAATCAGGAAACATTTTGGGAAAACATTTACCAAAATCGTTCTCCACGCCCAACTTTCAAAACTATTCACCACTTAAAAGCTTATAAAGTATAGAAGAAAAGATGTAAAAGTTTTTTTTCAGCAAATCTAGTTTCAATGTTTTCTTTAACCAAAGAGCAAATGAAACGAAAGTTTGAAAGTTTGACCAGATTTTGTTGACAGTAACCTCACATCAAAACACATAAATTTTTTTTGTTACTGCCTACATTACAGAAATGAGCAAGCCAAATTTCATATCTAGTTCAACTGTTCAATCAATAAGTTGTTAGTGTGAAAATTGAAGATTTAATCAAATTTTAAATACTTTCTTTTATATTTCCAATATTGCAAATTCAAAGCTTTGAGTCAAGAGAAAAAATAGTTGAAATACTGTTATTATTTATACTGCTATAAGTTGAAATACTGTTATTATTTGCATACCGCTTAAAACATTCTGATAGCCAATCAGAGCAGCGAAATGGCTTTCTCACACGAGCGTAAAGCGTTTCGTCCAATCAGGAGAGACTTGTCACAACACGCCACTGATTTCATTCAATAACTTCAGGTTCCTTGCGTGCAAACCTCTATAGCGAGAAAACTTTCGTACCAAAAGTTCATGACAATAATTGAACTTTTAACAATGACTCAAGGATCCACGACACTTGAATATTTCAATTGACGACCATATTATTGAGCAAAAAAAAACAAAAATATAAGAGCTAAAACGACGAGAGATGTGAAGCTACTCATTGAATTTCTAAGAAAAAAAAAGCAAGGAAATCTTGAACACATCGAATATATCTGCAAGTTTATCCTTAGTGTGAAGCGGAAAGACGGCAAAGACTTTGAACCTTCAAGTCTTAGAGGAGGGTCACAATGGGGGAGTTCACGTTGACGGTTGACGGTTAAAATTTTAGGGCATTTGACGGTTGACAGTTGACGGTTAATTGTTTGGACTGTCGTTTATAAAACGAAATAAACGCGTGAATTCGGCTGTGATGTTTCATAAAAGGTTACAATTTTTCTCTTATTATTTAATAATCAAGTTAATCCTATAATTTGTGCGTTAAAAATTAGATTTTTAGCCTTCAGCTACGTGTCTAATTTGTGTAATTATATCACCTTTACTGCCGCTAGACGTATTAATAACCTGCTCAACCAAGTGGTGTACTTGTATGAGGAGTCGCATGAAGATCTCAAAGTCCCTGCTTATCAGAGATTAAATCTCATCGATGCTTTTATCTGTCTCCCCGATCTTTTTGTGAGATTCTTCCACAATCTCTTCTGATTCTGCTTCGTTAGAGTCAGTGTCCGAGTCACTTTCGAATTCATCCAACTGGAAAGGTTCAGGCAAAGTATATCATAAACACTCGGAGGGAAAACATGGAAATAGTATCTTTGCTCACGCCTTTTCACGACCCTAGTATGGAAATAAATCTTAGTATTATATGCTGAGATGTCAATGAAATATTAAGGTGATATATATCTGGAAAATACAACATTTTATACAACATTTTAAAAATGATTAAGGACATCTTAGAGAGTATTTCTCTAACCTAAGGAAGGTTCACCCTCCTATACTCCCTGATCATAACAAGCTGGAACCGTCCATAATTCATTTATACATGCACTTTGGATTGTTTTTGAAATTTTTTTGTAGGTTTGTTCCTTCTTGGAAACCAGACCAATAACCCAAATGCCGGCCGGAAAAGGAAAAGATTATCTAGCAGCAATCGAAAGTTTTAAACCGAGTGAAGAGGGAGACTGTCTATAGTTGACCTTCAAGGGAAATAGGTGCCCTCAATGGCGAAGTTAAAGAGGGTTCATCACTCTACGTCTTCACTGACGCCAAAGATCCACATCAACTCGTTACAGCAAGAGTTTTAGCCATGAAAATTAGGTTAAGTATTTACTTCTTTACCACAGGACTGTGTGGTTTAAGTGAGGAGGGTGTATTGGGATTTTCGGTTTTGCGGTTTTGGCTATTTTTTAGATCAGTTTTACGTTGGAGGGCATGCGTCTCGAATAACGCCAGAGATTTCGACCTTGCAATGTGGAACACTTACGTCGATCAGTTTGCGAACTATGGCTTCCAACTTGCCTCACGTGCCAGCAACAGAAGAAGCTCAAGGACCTCACGAAGCAATTGTCGATTGCGTCGCGTTTCTATGCGAAGAGGGGCCGGGGAAAGGAGGTGAGAATTTAATGCGGTTTTGCGGTTACCAGTTGACCCCAATGCCTCGCTCAGTAAGATTTTTCAGAGCAAACATCCTGGATCTTGTTACAGGAGAACTTAAAACATGTAAGTAGTACCAAACGAAGAAAGACGATCTCTAATTCTTTTGGTACAATGTTCATCAGGACATTAACGCCACATTTGCCAATTAGTCCCCCATTTGATGACTCTTGGTTAACAACTCCACTACAAATCTGATTTTCCTTTTTTCGGCTGGAGTCAAAGTGTTTTACATAATTCAGGCGTGTTGGTGTAGTCCAGGTTCGCGGGCTTCCTTTGCCGATGATACGGTAGACGATGGCGCCAGCTTTAAGCCACAACTAGAGGCACGTCTGTCATGCAGGCTGTCCCACTTTCCACCGAATGTAAAAAAAAACCATAGAGAAAAAGTTGCAAGTCATTTGCACGTAAAATTTGCTTAAATTATGACTCATCATGACCAGGTTCATAATTAATTTTATTTGCGGTTTCCTTCTCTTACTTATTTAGCAACCCCAAGACGAACCCAACTACTGATTCTGCTTTCTCGAAAATACTCCAACTTCCAATATCATGGCTCATGCAGTTGAAATTTACCGAAGCCTATTTTCAAATTACGCTGAATTGTTTTTTTCGTGTAAAAGTACAAGTTTTCTGGATCAATATCAGTATCTGGGCAACTACCCACCTACCCCTCCCCTAACCCAACATTAACCCTAAGTTGTCATCAATTGACTATTGTTGGGTTAGGGGAGGGGTAGGTGGGCAGTTGCCCAGCTACTGATATTGATCCAGATTTCGTTATGAATGCCATCCGTAAATCCGTAGGCCATATTCAATAGCCATATCAATATGATTGTAGTCTTTTGAATGACAGAGGGATCTCGACTACGTAAGTCGTTTTTGGTGGAAAAAGAAAGAGCAGATCTGCACAATTCAAACCATTCTTTCATCGTCATGTTTTTTTCCTTTCCAAACCAGATAAACTCTAAACATACACAAAAGAGTAAAGTATAAACTAAAGGTTTGAAGTGGGTCTTGGAGCGTTGAGCTAGATTATCACTTTCAAAACAGTAGGTTACAAACATGAAGGAAGCAAATTAAAATAATACCTAACACATATCGAACACACTGCACATTTCGCAACGGTGGTAATATAAAATTTATTATGGCTTGAATTTACAAAGAAAATTATTCTAACTGTAGTTAATCGTGAAAAGGAACTGTTATTCTCCACTGCTTTAGTTTTACTTCCGTTAATTGTCATATATCGACTTGAAAACCATCTTTTTTTGTTATATTACGTTACTTGATTGTCACGTTGCCAAGCCCATCACGCAATACTCTCCACGAGAAGCTTACGTGAAAACACCACTCTGAGGGCCTCTTCATATGAGCGCGGTTGACCGAAATGGCCTGCTTACCAGGACGAATTTCGTCTTAGGTTCATATGAGAAAATTCAGCCCGGTTTCCCAGATGAGAAAAGGCCGAAGATCCTGGGGACGAGATTTGGCGCGAAATTAGAAACACAAAACAAAGATGGCGAAATGCAACCGACATATTACTTTTACGCCTATCATGGCTTTGGTAACCCTTTTAGCAGTATCACTGCAGTTAAACGGGCTGGTAATGATATGGAAAATTCATCAGGCAAAGCAAAACGATGCCATTCGGGCCGCCTTGTTGTGTGATGAAAGTGCGCTGCTTCGTCATCGACCATTTAACGCATGCGCTATTGCGAATAATTCATCCCGGTAACCGGGATGAAGTGTTCATATAGCAAAATTTTCCAGCCCCCTTACCGAGATCTCGGTTGGAAAAACAGAAGTCTCGGTAACCGAGCCAGGACGCCCTCTCATATGAACACATAGAAAATTTTACAAAGGATTTAGAGGTAAGGCGAGATCTCGGAAACCGGGCCAGCCTGGTCAACCGGGCTCATATGAAGAGGCCCTCAGATGAAGAACTCAACACCGTTGTGTGATAACAATATACAAGTGCTATAAATAAGAACTAACCGGCAGAGAGTGACAGAAATTCTACAAGTTTTACAGAAATTCTAGACACATCTTTGCGAATTCAGAGCTTTTCGTCGAGTGCAGCTCCTTTTTGTTTAGCCATCTGTTTCTGCATGTTAGCTATCATCTCTTGCATTCGCCTCAACTGAAAAAAAACATTCACTTATCTCAAAACACACACAAGAAACACATTTGAAGTCAAAACTGTATCACAAACAATGGGGGAACTAGAAGAATTTTCCCACAAGGGTGTCTTACTGAGGGTCTTAGCGTTGGCGAATGAGGGCGTATGCCTGGTTGTTTTACAAAAAAAAAAAAAAAAAGATCAATCAAAAGATTGTATGATTGTGTTGGGGAGGGGTGGGGGTGGGGGTTAAAAGCACTCTAGAACCCCAAGGCATACCCGTGCGGTCGCCTTGTCCATAGATAAAAACATGTGCGTAAGTTAGGCACACTGGTGTGTACCGATCGATGTCACGGTCATTATTTCAAAAGTGTAGTGAGCACGTCTGTTACGATTCCAGTTATATATAATACCTCTGCTTCTTTTTCCCTTAACATTCGGTCCTTCTCTGAGATTTCTGCTGTATCCACGTCATCCAAATCGAAATTTCCACTTTTTCGTTTCCTGCAATAAAGAAAAGCAGTGTCCATGGTAAGCTTTTTGAGTGCATTGCAATATCATAAAAGGAAAGAAGGATGGGTCACTCTGTATCCTATCTCCCTCATTCTAATATCATTCCTCAGTATGGCACGGTGCACCCTTGCCACGCTCAACTCCACACTTCACACACATCACTCACGCAGCTCGCGTTCACACGTTAAACAGTGGATTTGCGCACTCGTTACGATGCGAGGCTTTCCCGTGGTGGTCAGGGCTCTCGAAAGCGGAATTTGTATTTCATCGCCGGGGAGTGCAGTTCTTCTTTATTTTCTGATGGGTACTATTGCTTTCTCGCGGTGAAATTTATACAACCACAGTTCTCACTGTAGACTTCAAACGAGAAACAACGCAACCGTTGGAAATTCCCCGTAAATACCCTCCGTAAAACGATGAACCATAAACCATGTAGTCTTACGCCACACTGGATGATAGTAACCTTCGTTTACATTCTTGAATCTAAGTTCCTATTTCGAAAACAACCACAGTTTTTCATCCTTCCTTTGTTTCATTTCATAATTTCCCTTAATTCTTCTCCTCTTCTTCCTCCACGCAAAGTTGCTCCCGTTTGATTGTAAACCCCACATTTGCTGAGAAATGACGGAGAGGGTAGAGATCGAACTGCGCATGTTATGGTGGAAGGAGGTGGTTAACTTACATTCCTTCTATTGTTTTTCGTGGACTGGAAGGTTCCCCCTGGCTCGACAGTCTTTCTGCTCTGTAATTTTCATAATGAACCTCTTGTGTGACATCTTTCAAGTCCTGCATATGCGTCCTACAAAGACCTCAAAACACAGACGGTCAGACATTGTACTTGTCCAACGAGAGCTGCATCGTTTATAAAATTCACTTGAAAAGTTTTGTTGAAAAGTCAATAAAGTAGTGTGATGCGATAGGAAAAAAAAAACGACTAACCGTATAAGCATGTTTCTAAGCTTTATGAAGTCACAATGTTCGGGGTTTTCGACTGCAAATTAAGACAACATTATATATTAAAGTTCACAAGGCAACCAAGTGGACAATCAGACATGGTTTGATGCTACTCTGGTTTAACGAATGTAACCAAGAAGTTACAATTCATAGCCCTATATATCCACATATAGGTCTATGAATTGTAACTTCTCGGTTCCATTGATTAAATGTTTAAATTAGAGTAGCATGAAACCATGTCTAAGACAACAATAGTTTAACAGTGTTAATAAGAAATACTAACAGGAGGCGTTGATTGTTAATTCTCCTCTCTTGCTGCTACACAATTCCTTGTCAATTAGTTGCGAGAATTTGGTGAAAGATCAAGATGACAACTTTTACCTGATAAGTCTGAGTATTCTCATTAACCGTTTGCTAAAAATAATGTGGAAATTATAGGGAGAAGTTACATTTTAGTCACTTCTGGGAGTTAAAGGGTTAACATTCTCTCCGTTTTTCTACAACACACAGCGCTTCAAGCATTCTCTTCTTGGATTTGTTTCATTGTAATGGAACACCGACAAAGCAACAATCTATTACTACAATCAATCAGTATAGGTAACAATATCAGCCAATCAGACGCGCGTAATTTCTTCATGTATATTATTAATTCAGTTTTTGAACCGTTGGAATTCAGAGTCAGCCATTCACGTTATCTCGTTCATCCAACCATCCCTCTATTATTACCAAATTTTCATGCTCCACAGTTGGCCCCGGTAAAAAGGAGTACCTCTGCCTTAGTTAGAATTAATTACCTTCTGCCATTCCCCAAGGATATTGCCTGACTCGTACTTGCTTTCCTCTCACATCTGTTACGTTGTTACTACCAATCACAGCAAAAGGAATGCTACCCTGCAGTAAAAGGTTGAATGCATTAGAACTTTACCCCTTCCCCCGCAATGCACGCTTTTGGGCCCCCTCTGAATCGCTGTTTAATAAGATCAGTCCCTGAAACACTGTACGTTTTTGCATTGAAGACCGTATTAGAAACACCGCTCATTCTTCAGTGTTTCTTGTAGTTTGGTGAAACATCGTCTATTCATGGAATAAACATTTTACATTCTCTCATTAAAAGCCTAAGCATGGTAAACTCAATTATTTTTTAATTATAGGTTAAAGCCTACTTAAAACAATGCATTTGAGGCCATGCTGTAGTATAAGAGGAGACAAGGTACAGCTGTGACCTGGTTATAAATGAGCTGGCCCCCATTGTCTGAAGGGTGGATAATGCTATCCACTAAATGAATCTCTACCCAGTGGATGGCACACTTTGTTTTGTTAACACTTATACACTGGATAGTGTTATCTGCCCTTTTGAACAACTGGGCCCTGGCCTTAAGCCTTGTCTGGTTGAAGTTCAGTGTTATGTTTATGTTTTTGGGAGGAACTATGCATCATTAACACATATTTGCACTAACCTTGAGTTCTTGGTTGATTTGGACAAATTCTTCATCATCTTCACTATCACATTCAGGGAAAGTGTAAATTTTAATACCATTGTCATCAATCTCCTCTAATATCTAACAGAATTAAAACATTGAAATGAATTAATTGAAACCAAATTTGAGACTGAATAGAAAACTTAATTCATCTCTTGGCTACCATTCATTGGTAACAATCCACAGGGAAGTAATCTCTTTTAAGTCAGTAGAAGGAGACCTTACCATCAAAAAAAAAAACCCAAAATAAAACAAAAAAAACATTTCTTTCTCTGATCACCTAACAAACAGATTCCATGTTGCCATGCATCTGTTAAGTAATAGATAACAGATGACATCAAAATGTGGTAAGAGCACAATAGTGGCACACAAGGCCCATCAAATTGAACAGACCGACAGCAATATAGAGTCTATTTGTTTTATATGATAAATTAAAAGCAAAACAATTATTAATGGTGATGTCATCTTTGCATCTGTCCTCCCACAGATCTTAGGTAAGAACCAATCAAACTGTGTGTGTGTGTGTGTGATGCAGTTTATTAAGTAAAACATATTGATTCATACCACTAACCTTTCTTTTCAGTCGCTGTACTTCAAACTTTGTTAAACAATCAGCCTTCGCAATAACTGGAACAATGTTTACTTTGGTATGCAGCATCTTCATGAAAGCAATGTCTATGGGTTTTAACCTACATCAAAAGATAATTAATTATTAATAGATAATTACTTAATTGGATTATACATTCATTTGATAACTTAGTAATCAGGCATTTCAACCCCATGAACCAGTAATCCTTAAAGATATGAAAAAGATTATTCTGGCATCTTTAAGGATCTCCAAATCCTTAAAACATATGGGACCTCAAACATTGTCACATACTTCTACAAAAGAGGCAGTTAACACTGACATGTGTAAAAAAGACAATTTCATCTAGTGTCCAAATCACTGAGCTTGCACATCCCTGGCTCTTTGTGATTGTGTGATGCTGACCTGTCAAAACAGGCAACCCAGTGCAGTAAATCTTATTAACAATTAATGAGCGTTTACAGTAAATAAATTAAATGATTATAAATCACTAACCCATGGCCATGGGGACAAATAAAGTAAAGACAGCAATGAACCCTGTTGTCCACTATGTGTCTGCGATTGAGTCCTGATTCATCTTGCAAGTATGCCTCATATTGTTGATCAACATAATTTGTTACAGCTTGCCAGCTAATATGGAAAAAGAACACTTCAATGTAGCTAACAGTTGAACAGAGTTATATTAACCCTTTCACTTCAAAGATCTCACTACCAGCCCCTCAACTGTCTGCCATACAATTCTTCTGGTATTGGATCAACTAATAACCCCTAATTTACATTTTCTTTATTCTTGTCACTTGTCTGCTTGATATTTTTAGGAGAAAATTCTGTCTTGAACATCCATAGGAGTTAAAGGGTTTACTTAATATGAAATTATAAATTCAATTAATTTTTGTTAGGGTACAGGAAATTTATTAGGGATTTCAGGTGAGCTGCGTTGTGTTGAGCTGAGCTGAGCTGTGTGGAAAAACCTCGGAGCACATTGCTGAAGGGCTTGTCTTGTTTGTCTGAGTGATGCTAAATCAAATTTCAAAATGGCTATTTCTATCTTTCTCTTTGTCAATCAGTGTCTTACCAGTCAGTGTTATCAACAGCATCAGCAAATCCAGGAGTATCAACCACTGTTAATCTTAAGCGGATGCCTTTTTCTTCAATTTCTACAGTATTAGTTTCAATTTCAACTGTCTGATGTATACGATCTATGAAACAAAAATCATTGGCTTTGCTTACTGGCTGATCTGTGAACTCTAAGCTAATAAAACATTCATGCATCAAATAAAAAGATTATAATCCATTTAACAAATGATGGATTTATTAGAGGACAGATACAAACGTACTTCACCATCAACAGCATTTTGCTTTTTTATCATATATCTAGAACAAATAGATTCCATGTTGCTGTGGGTCTTTCCAGTAAAAGATCACAGACAACATTGAAATTTGGAAAAAACAACAAGGAGGTATACAAGGTATAGCTGAGTGTGTCACCTGGACCCATTTATAACTCCTAGGTGGAGAGGAGCATAGTGCCAAGAAATCAACACAATGACTTGGTCAAGTCTCAAACCCAAGCCTCTCAGGGTGCAGTTCTGTTATGCCACAGCACACCCCAATTCAAGAACTAAGACAAGGTGTAAAATTTATGTCTTTGTGTCTCTGATTTTTCCTAAATTAGTGTTTTGTTATGAGTGAATTAATTTGTTCAATACTTTAAAAAAATATATGGCCTTGAGAGCAATGCACCTTTCTTGCATGAAAGTCTTCTTTCAGTCAAATAACTTGATTACTCTTGTTAAAAGAAAAACTACAGTATTAGAACTTTTAATCTATGTTTCTATCAAAAGGATGCATAGAACAATTACATGAACTCACCAACTACTCTTGGAATGGCAGTATCATCATACAAGTCTGTCAAAAACAAGCTATCCACAAGAGTTGACTTTCCCAAACCAGATTCACCTGAATGGTGTAACAAAGATAGCAGGAGTCAAGCAAGTTTGCCAACGATTGGATAAACCATTCCAAGACTACTTATGGTAGACATTTTTAAGACAACAGCAATCTGATTCCTTGATAGGGAGCTTTAACCATCTAACTCTCATGAGTGACCAAGGCAGAATTTCTCTTTGCAATATCAATAGTATATTGATGAAGCAGGCAAGCAATGAGAACAAAAAGAATAAATTAAAGGATCATTAGTTGATGCAATAATAAATTATATGAACTAATATCATAAAACTGAGATAGTGGGAGTGAAACCTGGGTTTACAATCCCTATCTCTTTCACAGTGGAATCCTTTTGCCCCTCTTGTTGGTTATAGTGCATAACTGACTGTCAGCCATCTTATAAAGAGTGAGCAAGATTTCCCTTTCTAGATGTGAGGGAAAGGCAAACCTTGGAAGATTGCCAGAGGAAGCAGCAAGCAAATGAACTGCAGAACTTCTAAAATGGGAAAGGACTACTGCATCTCTTTCAGTATGGTTAACTTCCCAATTGCTGTGGCAATTTTTGTTCTCTTTGAGGAGAACCTGTTCACAGGCCACACAACTTACAACAATATGTAATAAGGAAATGACAAATAATAACTTTTAGGTATTCAAATAATTTTAAGTGTAATAATCAGATGTATGTTGTTCATACAGTAGCCATTGTGTTACTAATTATCACTAACATTGCTGCAAAAATGTTCCATTTACTTCATAACAAAATTAATTTTCTTTAAGAGAGAAAGGTAAATCTGGGTTAAGAAAAACCAATGGTGATGTTAAAAATTTATAGACAACTGCCAAAAAATTTCCCAACTTTGTTTAAATGGCTTTTATAGTACAACTACTACTAGATATAAGAAATAACTCACCAACAACCATAAGGGTGAACTCAAAGCCTTTTTTCACAGATTTGCGGTGGACTTGATTGGGGAGATTTGCAAATCCGACATAACCAGGTTCCTGAAAAATACACTCAAACATGTAAATTATGTGAAGTAAATTTTATCTGGAGCCTGTAGAGCCAATAGCACCAACTAGCCTCCAAATGGGCTGCTTTTGGAGTAAGGAATCATGAATTTAAATCATAGAAATTAGTTACCAGATTTCAAAATTTTATTTTTCATTTTCCAATTTGTTTCTTTTGAAACCCTAAGCAAGCACCCATTTCTGCACTATAGCCACACCCAATCAAATGTTGACAAGAGAGTCATCTACCGTTTCAGAGGGTAAAGAACGAGAAGGAAGATGTTACATATGTTTAGCTGGCATCAGCCTGTCTAAACAATGACATAATGTTCATCACAAGGATGAGTCTTTTTGTTTCATAATCCTTGTCAAGGAATAGACTGAGATTTGTATGAAAAAGCATTCTCCCTGTCTCAAATTATCTGTGAAGTGACAAACCTCACCACATCATCACCTTGACGAGTCAAGCCTAGTCTACAGAATTAGGAGGAGTATACGTACCACCTAGGCGCCTCCACGTACTAGTGTACAAGTTAACGTTAGCTGAGCAGCTGTAAAGGCTCAAGGTCTTAAGATTAATCTTATTATTCAGTTCTAAATTTGTTAAGGGATATCTGACTTTAAGTCTCGACGTTGAATCAAGAGAGACTTTCCGAAGCGGTAAATACGATGAAAAATTTAGACATATTGACATTTGACCGCAAGGTACATTGGTCGCCGCCGAAACGGATGTAATAGTGCTAAAGTTATCGAATAGCGACATCTAAAATTCAAATTATATCCCTATGTTGATTCAGAGTATTGACCGATATGTTATAAATAGATGAATATTTCAAAAAATAACAACACTAATAAATTGAACCTTTGAATAACCAGCGCATTTTAAGAACTACGCGAACAGATGTTAAAATTTCGGCTCGATAAGTGATATCTTATGTGGAATTAAGGTGTTACAAACACGCAATCCGGCTAGAAAAATAAATTTGGCTAAACATCACGAACGGAGATACGAATTAAGCATTTCTGTTTTCCGAGTACTTAAAGTACAATGCTCAATTATTAATAAGATTGTTGGATTTGTTAGTAAAAGGGAGGGGTAATTATTAGCTTAACTCGTCACATGAAGAGCGCGCTGTGTTGGCCGAACCTTAGAGCAGCAGTTTAAAAGCAGGCGGGATACGTATTTTGACGTTTAGCAAAAGAAAATTAGATCTTACCGGCTCTTTGTGGGAAGATTGCATCGTCCGCAGGCCAAGAGTTGCAGAACATAAACAAAACATAAGTTTAACTGAGGTAATTCACATCTTGGAAGAATTTTTAAACTTTACATTCGAATCGGGAGATGTCAAAGATAAAAAATTTCAATGACAGTCACTATTAAAAGGTACAAGCGTTGAAAAATACCTTTCAGAGCTTCAGAAATAACTTTGCTTCCACGATTCGCTCTAGTGCTAGAATTCATCCTTCCTCTTCGCGAAATACTCAAGAAACCTGACAAGAATAATTAATCATTGGATGGTTGAGGAACGCGCAAAATTACCAATTGAATAGTTTATAGACAGTCTAATTTCGTTTCCAGACTCCGAAGAATCTGATTTCTTCCGGACGTTGAGAGGTTGGTCATATTTGTGGTCATATTTTAATCCACTTTTGACAGAAATATGAGGGAAATTAGGTAAAAAAAAATAGAGGAATATACTGTAGACCGTCACATATGGCGAAGGTGAAATTAGAGTTTATTCGACCGTGTTAATTTGAAATAAATTTCGCGCGAAAATGACACGCATCTCGTGTGACTCGCGTAGACAAACCTCGCGTGTTGTTCTAATCAACGTTCGCAGTGACTCACGGGAAACCTAGTCTTCTAATGGCGGCGAGAAGAGGCAAATGGAAAGCCCTAATTCACGACAACAACATCTAGACCCAGGAAGACAAAGCTCCTTTCAAAGTCTCGCCTTAAACAATGTGAGAAGCGCTTCGAGAGCGAGTGCTAGCTTCAGCGTAACTTCGCCGTTTGGGAACTATCCGGAACCAACCAGCGTAAATTATCGAGCAACAATGGTTTCGACAACTTCCACCCCGACTCCGTCAACACAAATGTCACCGTTTTATCTGTTACGGGAAGATACTCGTGAGTTAACGAATTTATTTTTTCATTTGTGGCTGTGTCTTTCCTGACGCTTATTCACCGATCTTTCAGCTTTTTTTTTTTTTCTTTTGCAGTGACTCCTTCAGAAGCAAATAGCAACCTTTTGGTAAAACATGGCTTTGACCAGACGTATCAGAAGAGCAAAAAAGTCAAAGAAGGATTGAGTTCGTTTTTACCGCATTTGCCTGGTAAGGCTTCCTATTGTATAATACAACTGTACATGCAAATGTATCATTAATTATTTCGAGTGATTTTAAACCAAAACCTTGCTAATTTGAAATGGCACATTACTGAAAACACGCCAACGTATTTACCATTTGCGTATCGATAAGCAACATGTTTGAGAGGTATACTTCATGAAACTGACAATTCCGAGATCCGTAATATAGTTCAAGAATCGCGAAAGAATTTTAACGGGGAGGAAAATATGAACTCTTACTTTTTAAAATGAATGTAGAGACGGAAAAAATGTTATAATCAAATAGTCCACGCAGACAAGATTCTTAAACAGATGATCTTGTTTTCAAAATATCTGACAATATTCCTGTTCGATCATATTTGACCCTATGTCACACTCCCCTTTCTGCAGACAGCACCACTGGAAGAAAAAGGGTACAGACAATTGAGCACTCGGAATGTATTCTTCTATAGGCACTAGCTGTGAAGCAATATAAATGTGTTGTTGATTAAGTGTGAGGTCAAGGTGGCCGGATATTGGACAAGTTTAGCTTGTTTAACTAGGATGAAGCGTGCTCCAGAAACCACATCTCTCCTCTTCCTCTGTGTTGAAGATCTGACTACCACACTGCCATTTTGAACCTTGCTTAGCTATCTAGCTATTAACCTGTGGAATGACAGAGTTTAACACCCCCCTTCTCCATCCCTTTTTTAACTCTTTGAGAAAATGATAGCCACAAGCAATTGCTGTCAAAACTGCAGAAGAAGATGTCCTTGTTGAGAAAAGTTACTCAAAATTTATAGAAGTCTGTATTGCTTACCTGTGTATTTATCGCAAGACACATTACCCTTTGCATGGGTGTTATTCTATTTATCCCAAGTGCTGATGAAAGGCTTATCTCGGTAGGAATCTCTGTAGTTTATCCCGGTTTCAGTAAAATGAAGCAATTAGGGTATTATCCACTTAGACTGGATGTCTGTCCATAAAAGGGATACTGACCCTCCCCCCCATCCCCTTCGCATTTGGTCAGGGGTATGTCCTGGGTCAGGTGTGAGAGAGTCGTGTATTTTGCCCAACACAGTGACCCAGTTGTGGATTGATACTAGGTGATTTGATCTGAAGTTTTGAAGCTCACTATTTGGTTGTAGAGTGTGTTTGGCAATTACAAAGAAGCCACTTAAGGGAGTGCTGCTAGAATAGGGTGGAATAATTTCTTGCCTAGTTTTAAATCATGTATATATTGTATAATTACATTTTACTGTTTATTACCTAGCTTTTTACAAATTCATAATTCAGATTTATGTATTTTTATTTATTATTTATTTTTTATTTTTATTTTATATCAGGCAAAGAGCCATACCATGGATGTACTGATATTAAACCATTATTGTTATTATTATTATTATTATTATTATTATTATTATTATTATTATTATTATTATTATTATTATTATTATTACTTTGTGTCAATGTGTATACAGTACTCACTTGTGAAATTAAGAGAAGATTATATCTTTAGAACAGTAATATCATCTTCAAGATTAAATCACCATATGTTAGAAAGAAAGGACAGATAAGCATGTATTATACTAATTACTAACTTCTGGTTTCATTTTGTTTATTTATATTAGGTGTTCTTGATGAACTAGGAGGACCAGAAAATAGGTAATTTGTTTCCCTCTTACTCTTTTACTGGTCGTTAGTATGGCAAAAAAAATTTGTTCTGATTTAAAATTTACAAGAATTGCTCCTTAGGTCTGCCAAAGAAACAAACTTATGAATGAAATGATCAGAATGGAATTTGAAAGAGTTCACTGATTACCATTCAAAATGTGTCGTTTTCTCTCCTAGTCTTCGTTCAGTGGTAGACAAGCCTCCCATTGGTGGAAAGGAGCTCCTTCCTTTAACTGGGCATTCCTTGTCTGGATTTCGCTTAAATCCTGGTCCGGTAAGTATCGTATGATTCAGCTTACAAGCATTTGCATGAAAATGCCAGTTTTTCAGCAGTTTCCCTTTAAAGCCTTTAGTAACTGCTATTGTTAATGGGCAACTTAGAGTAGATTGTTTTCCTGAACACCATTTTCAGCTCAAAGACAATAGTGCAACTATGGTATTTTCTCAATGAAATGCCCCTATTGTTGATTTCAAATTGGCAAGGTAAACTTAATGTGAGGATTGTTATAATTTTTCTCTGTTTTAATCAGGTATTTTTTTGTTACCCTTACTCAGAATGACAATATTCCCCCCTTCATCTAGTAGAAAAAAAATAGTCTCCAAGAAATAGACTTTTCTTGTGAACATGTGTATGTATGTGTTTAAAATCAAAATTTATCAAATCAGCAGCATATTCCAGCTTTCCTATTCAACAGAATTTAGGTACTTGTGAACTTGAGAAGTTGATGAAACTTCAGGGCTGCAATTAAACACCCCTAGAAGCACTTATATGAGGTTGGCATTTAATTGGTGTCATGTGTTAGATGAAGAAATTACTGACTGTAATATCAATTCAGTTAACTAGTAATTTCATAACTGTTAATATTGCTGCGGAGGTACAGTATTGTCACAGTTGCACTGGTTGAAGAGTGAAGTGAAAAACTACAAGTCTAGTTTGTATCAGAAACTTTGGCTCAGAATCATGGATGTTTCAAAACTTGTCATGCAGAGAGATAATTTATATATATTCTGCATATTCCAGATTCCAGAACAGTTTCGTTTCATGAGTCAGCATCCAGTGAAGAAAAAACACAAACATAAGAAGCACAAAAGCCAAGATAATGAGCGAAATAAGGAAGGAGGTGAAGCAGTCAGTCAGTCAGGTCAAGAGCAAGAAAAGCTAGCATCCTCCTCTACCGGTATGAAGAATTGTCAGTTTTGTTTTACTCATATTCATGAGTTGTGTAGTCCATGTAGTAGATGAATTGGGGAACAGGTAAAGAGATAGATGATGTAGAGGGGTGTCTAGTGCAAGAGGGTGTCAAATTTTGGTTCTTGGATGACTTCAACCAGCTTCAGTCTCAACCTAAGTGTTTCAGTTTCCCTTTACACCTTTTTTTTTTCTTTTTCAGTAGAAGATATTGTACATGGCTATGAAATTTCAGCTGTGATTTACCACAATGTATATCATTGCTGGATCCTTGCTTTCATATGTCTTTCTCTGAGAGCGTATGATTACCCATTAACTCTATATCCTTGGGCTTCTAACATCAATCCACCCACTCAGCCCAGCCCTTGTTCAGCCATAACCAGAGAAGATCCTTCATTCCTGTTCAATACAGTTGATGGGAAAGTTTGTTTTTACTTAAAATATCACTGGTGGATGAGCTGGCAGCAGATTTGCAAGCTCTATTATTTTTTCTCTCTATAATGTCTCTCTTGTGATAAAAGCACCTGTTATCAATTTGTTTGAGTAATATAAGGAAGACAGGGAGGGACAAGAAAAAAAACTTACATCAATTTAAAGTTACCATGCCAATTTGTTGTGGAATGTTTGTTCATAGATAAAGCTGAGAGTGCACATGACTCCAAAAAACACAAGAAACAGGTTTGTGAAGATGACTAGATTAAGAAAACCTTGATTTTGAGCTATTGTAATTCATGGTTTATTTACTATTTGTATTCATAAGATTATCATAGTGTGTATGTCCTGATGTTATTTTGAAGATATAGAAAAAAAATGTTTTGCATTCCTTATACAACATGCCGTATCTGTTGTGTTTGTTTTCCTATTAGAAAAAGCATGATGATGGTGAACGGAAAAAGAAAAAGAAGGAAAAGAAAAAGAAAAAGGTATCTCTCTATTGCACATTCAGTGCGGTCCATGATAAGAAATGTGTTGGGGAGAATGCATCACTGTCTGATAAATCCCATCTCTTTTAAATGGTAGCATTTATCATGATGGTATCATGGTCTGCCTATTATGTCTTTTGTTTGTGCATTTTTTTACCTTTAAAGACATTTCAGCAAACTTGCTTTGTACTCAAAGTTGAAAAAGTTTGTTGTGCTATAAATAATCTGTGAAATATAAACCACATTGTAGAAAAATTTATGCATTGCATTGAAAAAATTGGAATTATTGTGTTGTGATTTTTTTAAAATAATAATGTCTTCAGGTTTGCTGTTTTTGTAACAAAATTAATGATGAAATATTATGGAGAAAAAAAAATTTGTAACAACCATATAGCAATTTATTGAATAATTATACAAGGAAGCTTCAAAGCTGTAACAATCCGAAGGATGGCATTTGCACCTTACCCTGTTAAGTGGTCTCATTTCATGTGCATGTCCGGTCTTGGTTGTAATAATTTGCTGTTCTTTACAGGTGAAAGTTTTGTAAGCTTTTCAGTGATTTTGTTGTTTCTTTCATCATAATTTCAGAGGCACACACCTGATGCTACTCCTCCTGGGGGAGGACTGGACCCAAGTTGAAGACTGAAATGTAGAGACTATTTCTATAGAAAATAATGACAAAAATAATGACTATTTTAAAAATATTTACAAGTACGCCTAACTTAAGTTATGCCACCTTTAGGATAAAGAAAGACGTATATTTAGAAATACTAGGTTGTTTTTCAGCAACATTGTACAAAGTTGGTCATTGATAACTGGCTCCAAACAGGAGCTGAATTTAGGGAGTTGTCTGTAAGAAAACAGGAAGAAATCTTGTGTCATGTCTGTTCTTGTCATTTCATATACTCGGTAACAACATTGTCAGTGTGCAGGTTAATTTAACCCTTTCACTCCCAAAATCTTATTAGTTATGCTCCTTTTTGGGCATACAATTATAATGTTTGCCTAGAGAATTTGGTGTTGGATCAACTACTGGTCCTCTGATGGATATTTTTTCTTTATTCTCATCAGTTGTCTGTATAGTATTGTTTTGCTATTGTAAGGGAAATTTTCTCCTCGTCACTCATGGGAGTTAGAGGGTTAAGTGATAGGCAATGGTGGTAAGTTGTGTTTTGTCTCCCACCATTAGAAAGCCATCATTTCATCTGAGTTGTGGTAGGTTAGGATCTTAAAAGCAATGTGTATAGAAATAGTTTTGGAGATGAGACCTACCTTAATCCAGTTTTAAGAGGTAGTGCAAGCTAAAAGAATCTCCTTCCACACACTCTCGTATGATTTGTAAGTATTTGCACTATGATGGTGCTTTGTAATGGAATACTTTAAGAAGCATAAACAAGCAGCTTCTCTGCCAAAAAAACCCATCCACTGTCAGTTCTTGACTTGGAATATTACTCATCTCTTATCAATCATGTCATACTTTTACATCAGAAATAAATTTTGGGCAGATAAGTGAAATGCGTCCATTTCTAAGGGTTATCAAAGTTGACATATGCATAGTGGTAGCAGTCTGAAGTGTGAGCCAAACCTGGCTTAACAACATACATCTTGGAGGTAATTGTGGAATGTTGAGTAAGCTGTGATGTAAACGAGTGATTTAACGTTCCTCTTATGGTACAAGATATTCTTTGTTAATCACTCAAGTTTAAGAATGAACAGTCAGGAAGTTTACCGCTGGCCAGCTATAGGTATGTCGTATCAATGGGCCATTTTACAGTTGTGTACTTAGTTGCCAAGTCCTTGATTTGTTGTGATAGAGATCAGTTAGAGATCTAGTTAGCATGATAACAAAGACATTTACATTTGGAGAGCTACAAGGTTTATCATAACAAGGTCACCCTTAGCCTTTCTCCTGTTCAAAGGCTTGGCAACCAAGCACGCGACTGTAAAATGGACTATTCTGCTTCTGTTTCACCTCGGGGGAAGGGACGTCTACACGTATGCTACACGCAATTCTTGAACAATTTCTTAAGAGAAAACTTCAAATTGTGCATCTTTACTGAGATGAGGTTGACACTTGCATATGATACATATGTTGCACTGTTGCAGTGACATGCTTTCCTTGTGTTCACTGTTTCGTCTGTTGTTTAGAAAATTTCTTGTATTTATTTAGTTCTTCGTTAGAACTATCGCCATGATGAAGGGCTGACGCTTGAAATGTCTGCTTTGAAACTCTTTACGGAGGCAAATTTACGATACCAACTCAGTTGATAATACTTAATTGCCCTGTTATACTCTCTCAACGACGCGACAGCGCAGTTTCTTTAGAAAACTACCCTCTTTATTCTTGAGTTTATTTCGGCTCGGATTTATGGCCCATGTGCGTAGCGCGCTGGCGATAAATCCCAGCGGAAGACATGCGGTTCTGTAACTCACAGTATGGACCGGCAAAGTGATGTGATAAGATATTTATCACATCACTGGGTTAAAATAGAGGGGATTTGAATTCGAACAATCTTTTGAATCTGGCGGGTGGTACGGTGAAATACGGCCCGCTAAATCGACCAATCACAAGAACGTACTTACTGGTACATTCTCAACTCAAGAACATCTACCTCACCACACTGTAACTGCTGCTGGGCATCACATACAGTTTTTCTTCCAGCTTTAAAGTGGTCTGAATCGAATCAGCGGGACTCTTCACCACTCTGCTTAAAGCCTAGCTGAAATTCAGCTCTTGATTAATATTTTATTTTATAATGTTTAACAGTTGTGAGGACGACGCCTTCACACTAAAAAAGGGGGAACGAAAAAAGATTCGGTTACGCTTTCGAACGAGCCTGGCTTTCGCGCAAAACACACAAACATTTTTAAACAAAAAATTTTATTTCTTACCGGCAAATTGCATTTTAAATACTTAACTTAACAATGTTGCGAAAGATAATATACTTTAATATTTTAATTTTGCTATACAAGATATGTGCTTTAAGTATAAAAAAATGAGAGAAATTGACATTGAACTTTGACTTTACATGCATGTCTTTTTGCACCTCTCCCGAAATTCATTTTAAGGCCGGGGGAGCCCCCCCAGAAAAACGATTCCACCATCACGGAAGCTCTCTTAAGCACCATTCGAAAGTAAATTTAGCTTTCTTACAACATTGTATCAAAAAGCACGTAACGGCTTCCTCAAAAAATACATTAATAACAATAATAAAGTTCATAACGAGAAACACAGAAAGAAAATCACCAAACCTATTTTTTTTTTCTTCCCAATAATTATAAAAGAAAATTATGACCTTCTTTGAACTTCGTGGTTTGGCAATTACAAAAATATGTAAAAAAACAAATCAAAACAAAAAATGGCTATTTTCCCAAATATTCCTTCAATGTAATGTTTCCTGCGAAAAGAGTGAAAGAGCACAACAATTGAGACCTCATGTCTTCGTCATATGTACTCTCTTTAATGTAACATTAAGAATGGACGCAGACAACTTAAAAGAGCTGACAGATCTGTAGAAGAACACGTGGTCCTGACATATGACTAAAATCTCTTTTGTTTCACTCTTAGACTTAATTCTTTGACCTCAAAAGGGTATAGCATCTACTTTCTCTTCAAAAGCTTCACCCCTTAATTCAACATCAAGATCACGAGAATAAAGAAAAAAGATCACCTACTGAAGAAGCTCTGGATTATTAAACAAATTCTCCTTGTCAGTACCTTTGGAAATATCTAAAGACCAGTATAGAGAATATACATACTGATGCTGGGGTGTAAAGAGTTAAAGAGAGACTAGCTAAGAGAACTTTGCGATCAAGAGGCTGGTTCCTGAATAATGTGAAAACAATCAATTTAAGGTGGCGTGTATTTCAGATGACGCTTTTGATGTTTTCTATAAGTTTTAGTTGAGACATGTTTTTGTGTGAAAACGATAGTTCAATCAAGGTGTCTCTTGCTTTGTTGTTCTCAGTCGAAAAATACCCTCCGTCATTTGCATTGCTTTTCAAGCTTGCAAAAAAATTGCGTCGTTTTGTAGTCATTTTCCAGTTTGTCAATACCATACTAACTCAGCAGTCTGTGAGGGGTTCAGAAATAAGTCATAGTAACGAAAAAGAGCGGGAAAACGGCTCAAAACTTACCACCATGGGTCTTCCTGTAGTTTCAATCGGTAACATAAGAGTAAATGCCACACAGACTAATGACGTCACACCATAAACACCTAATGCCAAACGTAGTGAAACTCTGAGCAGCACCTACAACACAAGAACACGTGATTATGATTAAGCCAAGATCCACGTTCTTACTCATCAGTATTGTAACTTGTGTCCTCATTATTTTAACTGAGCCAAGATAGTTGTTTAAAGGATCTCCGCCGCCAACTTTGATTTGAAAACAGAGTCGCCGTAAACAACCTGGAACCTTGCGAGTTCATCTTAGTGTCAAATGAGACCTTTACAAAACGGCCGCAATTGGTACAGAAACTGTGTCGATTCTCCTTAACGAAGGGCTAACTCTCGAAACGACAGCTTCAGAATCGCTTTACGGTGGCCAATTCACACAATCAGCTTAATTGATAAAACTCTAAAGCATTTAGTTTTTACCTTGAATTCTCACAAGCCCTTGAAACCGTAGCACTTTCCTTGAGATTGCTGAGGTATTGACATAACGATAATGTTTCGACAAACACTGATGAAAAACTGACTGTCATAGAGCAGGAGCATCTCAGCATCTTACTTACGATGAATTTAAACGCCATACCTGTGATATAAAAGGCGTCACCATTGCTCCAATACGTGCCATTGCGCTGCAACATCCCAAGGCCAAGGCACGAACTACAGTGGGATAAACCTGTTATCAAAGGAACATCAAAGGTAAAAACATTATTCATGACCGGTGTGTCTACTTTTGACTCGTTCCCAATCGGGAAGAAAATAAGGAGGGATGGAAGGCCAAAAAGGAATAATTTCTCCATCAAACTGCACGCTTCCTTGCCGAAGGCTCTTCCAATCTTCATGATGGTCTTGCGAAATGCACGACATTTTTGTTATTTGTGTCACACAATAAGAATAGCAGAATTAGTAACAGCAATTGAGCTATCCTGAGGCAAAACAAGATTTTAAGAGGAAAATTTCAAAAGCGAAGAAAACGTTTTTACTTCTTGAGATGTTTTAGGTAAGAGGGTTCCACGCAGTGAATCTTCCAATTAGAAAAAAGCCTCAGTGAGAAAAAAAGGCAAGAGGAAAATATGAAATGCCATCTACTGTTAATCTGATTGTGTAACCAATCGGTATGCGTTTGAAAGACTTTTAAATGACTGTGAATATATGAAAAAGATGTATGTGATCTGCGGATAGAGAAATGAATATGAAAGCCATCTTTCCAGTACTGAACACTACTTAAGCGGTAGTGAAAAAAATTCAGGTCTGTACAGGATTTGAACCCATGACCTCTGCGATACCGGTGCAGTGCTCTCCAAAGATCGCTTTCATATTCATTTCGCTATCCTGCTGTCATTTTTTCATCACTTCAAGGGTTTATTTGGAACCAACATAATGACCAGCTCCCAGTTGTCTTGTTAGCTCAGCTAGTCGAGCACTACACCGGTATCGCAAAGGTCATGGGTTCAAATCCCGTACGGGCAAATTATTCGTCAAGTAAATGAAGCAGGCGTTCTTTCTATCCTCTTGTAAGGTTTTCTAGGGTTCAAGAAGTTTGCCTAATTACCAGTTAAGTCGTGTTAGTATCACCGAACATTTACTGATCTGTTTGTGCTTTAATTTTTGATACGAACCGTAAGGACGAATAAATATTCCACTGATTTTGCCCTTCAGGAAAAAGGAGGAATGATATTTTCATCGTATCGGTTTTAACAAGCCAAGTTCTCGCGTTTTGAAAGCAAATAGAATCATCAATACTCATAAATAGGTTAATACAATTTACCTCTGGTGTGTAGACATAAAATCCTTGAAAAGCCCCTGATATAAATCCTCTGACCCCAAATATAAACACAGTCATCAGAGTTCTAAAAGAGAAAGAATAGGGGTCTGTTTCTGCGAATTTGGTCAAAGTCACTTCCGGCCAAGAATTGTATATCATTTGTGATCAGAGTTTTTTTTACAATATTACCTTCCAGAACAGATGAAAAGTAAAAAGTAACACATTGCAGTAAGAAGGAATTGTACAGCCATTGTTTTCTTTCTTCCAAGTTTCTCTATACAAAGCATGGTTACAATGATACCTGTATAAAAAAAAAGCAACTCATCATTTCAAGACTAGGTTTGAAGTTTACATGTTTATGTACTAAGCTGTAAATAAAATTAGTGTTAACATTTGTGGTAAGAAATGAGAAATTTTTGAGTAAACATTACAGAGAAAAAGTAAGCAGCAAGGGCTCTAACACTAGACCTTTTAGCTCGTGAGGAGAATTTTTATCCATTTCGTCAAGTATGCACAGCGTAAAACAGTGAATGTGATAACAACCATAAACTTGCCATTCATGCATGCATTGCGGGCCTACACTTATTCACTCACTCACGACGGCAATATGGCTAATGTAATTAAATTGTACTACCCACAAAAATGGTTAATCATACTAGCCTTATTGCCAATTTCAACTAGAGCCTATGGTTTATGTTATGCGAAGCAACTACCGTACATGTGGCTACAAGTTTTGCCAGGAAATAGCTATAGCGTACCTGGAAACTCAGCGAGTGTTGTCCACATCATGTCTGTGTAGTCTGTTACAGTAAGAAGCTGACATCCGCAATCAGGATTCTTCACTGAATTACTGTCGGCTGCAATGTAAACACACCCTTAATTAATCATTTTCCGGGTAGCAAATTCATGCAATGGTATAAGAGTTTGCGAAACTATCAAAGAAGTGGTATTGTATCTGGGTAGATGATTGAAAAGCTGATTGTACAGAACAGTTGAAGTTTACCTTACTGCACTACAAAACCTGCGTAATGTTGATGGGCTTACAGAGTCAAGCAACTAACCTTATCTTAAAGGAGAAACTCTCAAAAGAAACCGGTCGTGTCGGTGGCGTGTATTACA